TTTTTTCTATTCTGGAACTTTGGAGTATCAGCTGAACCATACTCTTCTTTGTCTTGTGCCAAAGGTCCTTAATGCTACTTGTGTTACTGATTATCGGCCAATTGCATGTTGTAATGTGTTGTTGAAGTGTATTAGTAAAGTTATTGCTGAACGGATGAAAGGATCGCTGGATGTTCTTGTTAGCAAGGCTCAATCTGCGTTCATTCCTGGGMGACAAATCACTGATAATATCTTAATGGCGCATGAACTGGTCGCTGGATATCAGCGTTCTGAAGGGGAACCAAAATGTGCTTTTAAGATTGATATTCGTAAGGCTTATGACACAGTTGATTGGCAATTTCTTTTAGAGATGTTGAAGGGAATGGGTTTTCATCCAGTCATGATTAACTGGATAATGACCCTGATCACTTCACCCTCTTATTCTGTTTGTGTTAATGGACAGCCGGAGGGTTTTTTTAATGGTAAACGGGGCCTTCGTCAAGGAGATCCTCTCTCCCCTTATCTGTTTACTGTTGTTATGGAGGGTCTCTCGATGCTTCTATCGAAGTGTATTGAGGAGGAGGCAAATTTTTCGTATCATCAAGGTTGTGCGGATATTAAGTTGACTCATCTATGCTTTGCTGATGATTTGTTTATTTTCTCTAAGGGGGACATTATTTCTGTGGAAGTCATCAAACGTGGTCTTCTCTTGTTTGAAGAACGTTCGGGATTGTCGCCAAGCCTGGAAAAAAGTGAGGTGTTTTTCGGGAATGTAGCAATAGTGGTTCAAACTCTTATACGTGATAGTTTATCTTTTCGGCCAGGGGTTTCCCGATTCGTTACTTGGGAGTACCTCTTTCTCCGGTTCGTCTGAAGGTACGTGATTTTAATCCCCTTGTGTTAAAGTTTAAATCTCGACTTTTAAACTGGAAGAATAAATTCCTTTCCTATGGAGGGCGTCGACAACTAATTCTCTCRGTGCTTCAATCAATGCAAACTTATTGGATATCAGTATTTCTTGTACCGGCAACCACAATCCATGAAATTGAGCAGCTTTTTCGTAATTTTTTATGGAATAAAGCAGAGGGTCAGTTGGGTAAATGTCGAATTGCTTGGGATACAGTTTGCTTGCCTATTCAAAGTGGGGGTCTTGGTTTGAAAAGACTTGCGACTTGGAATAGGTGTCTTCTATTTAAACATATCTGGGATATAGTAAAGGGAAGAAATAGTATGTGGGTCTCTTGTATTCAGTCTCACTATGTTCGGGGACGTAATTTCTAGGTTATCAAGAAGAGGAATGAATGGTCGTGGATACTCCGGAGCCTTTTAGACTTAAGATCTCATTGCCGGCGATTCTTTATCTACAATGTGGGAAATGGTTTGTCTACGCATGCTTGGGAAGATACATGGAGCGAGTCGGGTCCTCTCATTCAATCCCTGTCTTATAGATTCATTAATGGCCAGGGATTTCATAATAACTCCATGGTTTCTGATATTATGCAACGATTTGGTACTACTTGGCCGGTGGATTGGACTCAACAATATCCTCAGCTTCAGAGTGTTCTGATTCCGTCCCCAGTCAAGTGGAGGATAAGGTCAGATGGCTTGATAATAATCTTTCTYGGGGCGATTTTGAGGTAAAATTGGTTTGGAAAACTATCCAAGAGGTGAAGCCGGTTGTGCATTGGTATAAACTAGTTTGGAATAAAGCTTACATTCCTAAACATGCTCTTTGCATGTGGATGGCTTGCCAGAAGAAACTGCCAACTCAAGACCGTATAAGTCAATGGAAGCACGAACTGCCGGATTCAAAGTGTGTATTTTGTAACTTAGTGATTGAAACGCACAATCACTTATTTTTTKAATGCAATTACTCAAGCAGTATTTGGGAAGTTATTAAACGGGAGGTCGGTTTACCGAACTGTCTAAACAGTTGGGAGGATATTCTTCATAKAGGGTCCACCCAAACTTGGAAATCTTGGTCTACGGTTCAAAAACTTGGTATATCGGCAACGGTATATAATATYTGGAGGGAACGGAACAKGAAGTTCTTTGATAATTTSAATCATTCRGGRGATAAAGTTATTGCGGAAATTAAGATGCAGATTCTTCATCGGATGGCTTGGAAGACAAGGAAGAAGTTATTGAAGTCCAATGTTAAGTGATTACGTGGGTGGAGTTCGGTTTTGGAGTTTTTGGGTTTTCCTTGCCTTTTGCTTTTTGGCTTATGGTTTTCTTCTGTTTTGGTGTAATTCCCTTTGTCATTTTTGGCTCCTTATGACTTGGTTTGTGAGTCAAAGTTGTCGTAGCTTTTCTTGTTGATTGCTTTGTATTAGTGACGCTCTTTTATTGTCTTTATAAAATTGCCTGGGGAATTCCCCTTTCAGTAGAATCCTTATGGATAAATGAGCCCTATTAACCTAATAGGGTCTAATCAGACTAATTATGATACATACATTGTCATTTTGACAAAAATGACTCGATTATACCAAATGGGAACCAATATCCCAATAAGTGTAGATGGACCCATTGAGGACACTTAAGACTCATTCTACATCAATTAGTCATATTATATATAGTTGCACTAACTATGACCCATTTAGTATCATTTTGACCCATTTAGACTCGTTACAAAGAAATGGGCCCATTAAACCCATCAAGGTCTAATGGGACTGACTTTGACCTAGTTGGTGTCATTTTGACTCAATTAGACTTTTTAACGAGAATTATGCCCATTATATCCAATACCACCATTTGGACCCATTAAGGACCGCGAAAACCATTCTTCCTCAATTACTCACATTAACGTCTTATTATACTAATTTTGAACCATTTAGTACCATAATGGCAYAATTAGACTCAGTAGGAGAAATAAGCACATGATAACCATTGAGGTCTAAACAAACCAAATATGGCCCATTTAGTGTCATTTTGTCCCAATTAAAAAGACTAATTGTGACCTAGTTTGAATCGTGTTGACCCAATTGGACTTCTTAAGGAAAAAATAGGCCAATTATATCCACTAACCCCAAATGGAAGGATGAACCCCCAGATTTGGAGTGTTCGCTTTGTGGTCTATGTTTGGATAGTCATGATCATTTATTCTTTCAATGTTCGTATGCTGAAGTTGTATGGAATAGTGTTTTATTTATGGTGGATCTAACGGGTATGCCTTCAAGGTGGGAGCAGATTGTTCAAGTTATTTCAGATTCTAATAGTCGTCCGAAATTGTTAAAGCATAAGATTGCTGTGGCTGCTACTGTTTACTATATTTGGCAGGAGCGTAATCGAAGACTTTTTTCTGCAACTAAGCGTACGGCTCAGGATCTTATTGCCGTTATTAGGGAGGCTATCTTCATTCGTGCAGATTGGTTGGCAAGTCGTCCTGTGGTTACTTATGGTTGACGTGATGACTTGGTTTTGGTTCTGGGGGGCTTTGGTTTGG